ACGCAGTTCTTTGCAGGTTGCATATCTGGTTGTTACCCCCTTATTACCCAAACGTAACACATTGTTCCCTTATACCTACACGTATGCTCTTTATAAGTACACTATAATTACAGAAACGTACACCGTAAATTCAGTATAGTTACATAGTTCTTTGCGGGTTGTAATCTAAAGCGTTACCCATAATTCTTAGGACCTTATTCTTGAAACACAAAATGACCAATAAAAAGGTGTCAAGCACCAAAAGCAGCCCATATTACCACTGGCTGTGAGCGATTTCAGCGGAGCCGTTTCAAGTTTTCTGATTGGCTAACACGCGCGGGCGACAGATTTGACTGACGTTTCTTTTTCTTTCTTTTTCTTTTTTGTTTACAGAGACTATAAGCAAATAGAGAAAATTTGGATGTCTCAAAACACATATTTCAATTATATCGTTCAGGTAATAGGAACATTTATGCACAGTAGCCTATTTTAACATATTGCTTACAGCAGATTTAATTATTATTATTTTATAGCAGTAATAACCAAGAATTACAATAAAACTATTTTATGATAATCTACACTGTAAAAACAATTCTGTAAAATTTACGGTAAAAAATACGGTAGCGACGTTTTAGGTTTTACGGTTTTAACTTAAATTTACAGTTAAATGCCGTAATTTCATTAACTGATATAATGTGAATATAAATGTAACGCAGGGAATTCTGGGAATGTCAATTTACGGTTATTCCCTGTAAATTATACGGTCTTTTTCACTTCCAAAAACGGTATACTACCATAAAATTACATGTAATGTCCAATACCATTTTTCACCGTATATAGTACGGGCGTTTACCGTTAACCATTTAACAGGTTTTTACTGTAGCATTTTTACAGTCTTTTACCGTTAAATTCACGGTTATTTTTTACAGTGTAGCCATGCTAATATTTTCAAATATTTCCCTTCTCAGTTGCTAGATACAATGTCCAAACAACAATTGACACCACATTTATGTAAAACATTGCAAAAGAGACAATCATTTACTATGACTCATATAAAACATAAAAAAAACTGATCAAAGCTGTTCAGAAGCCACTTTTAGTGCTGAGCGAGGGCCAGTAAAGTAATAAGTAAAGTAAAGTTATAAAGTAATAAGTGTCTACACCGTAAACCCCTTAGATGAAGGCCCGTGATAGAGCGCTGGTCCTTTCGGCCTGGTCCATAATCTGCACCTGACAAGGACATGTAAGTAACTATAATTATAAGTCAAAGTATAAAAATGAGAACTAGAGCAAGGCCACCATTCATCCAGTGCTGCTTGCCCTGGTAGCTGTTGATCACATCATATGCCACACCCTGTAATTGAGGTCTGCAGCTGGAGGCCTTAGACATTTTTCACTTAGTCCATTGAGGATTCACCTCTTGTGTACCACAAGACTTAATTAAAAAAAAAAAATCTACCTTCTTAAACATTTTTTTTTTTTTGTCAAATTATGGAGCTCATCTGTTTATACCAGAGGTGCCCCAACCTTTTACTACAAAAGGCCAAAATTGTAACTTGGTTGCGAGTCGTGGTGGACTGAAGGTAAATGTTGCATTAAATCCACAATAAAATGTATTTATATTCTCTACACTTCAATACAAAAATTAAACAAAAACAAGGAACCATTAAGATATGCTTCAGTGTCATGTTTGGGCATCTCTGGTCTGTACAGTACATCTTTCTATCTGCCAAACATTTTTTTTCTTTAAAGGTTTTCCCTGTGCTTGAATGGTTTAAAAATATTCTTCACTACTTTTTTATATCTTATCCTGTCAGTTTCTGTTTGATACAAACATTATGTCTATTATGTAAAAAGAAATGAAATTGCATCTTCCTTTTGTACATTTTCCTCATGCCATGTGCAAAGGAGGTTGCTGACAGTATCACAGTAGGAAGCTTATGGAAATGTGGTTTTAAAGTGCATGCTTAAGACCTTACTTAATACTTTAATATAATTGTAGAGTAATGCATGAGAATGACCTGATATCACCAGTTAGAATAATTTTATGATAAACGCACCCAAGGATGAAAATGTCAGTCCATTTTATTTTATGTCTATTTTTTAAAGCTCTCATGTTGTCTGTTATGTTTGTCTCTGAGCAATAGCTCCAGGCTGTGATAACTCTTGATTAGATGCTGTAATATAACAGAGGTGGCAGACAGAGTAAATAGCAGTTCTGATGCTCAAAGTCTGTTGCATCAGAGACTATCCTGAGGGCTGGCAAGTATTGCTTCCACTGCTGTAATCTGAAAGCCTTTAATGCAGTGCTCTAGTGCAAGAACACAGTGGAAGTGCAGACAGCTTTATGCAAGGTAAGAATTATTTTAGGAGACATTTGTTGCCCCTTGTGACAGCTGCAATTGTTTCAGTAAAGGCGCAAATTATGTCATAACGACATTCCAAGCAATTAAGAAGACTGAGTGAAATTTCTCTTCACTTTTTTTTTCTTCAAAATTATAGACTTTGTGAGACAAATTAACCGAATATAATTTATAAATATTTAAAATATAAATGTATAATTTAAGAATAAATAACAAAAAATGGTAATGACGGAATGGCCTTGAGAATTCAGTTGAGAATTCAATCACTGATACAGCAACTAATGAATGCTGAAACTGATCATTTTAATTAGTTTTACACCAAATGTAATTTGTAAATGGACATTTAAAATGTAATGCCTAAATATTATGCTTGGTCTCAATTCAAATATAGGTTGTTAAACTGTTTCCCTCCTATTCATGTCATTATAGTTGTTTGTACAGTTCTAAATGAAGAAGTTTATTCCCATTGCAAACATTCTCCCACCTTATCGTCATAATTGCCTGACTAACACGGTGACCTCAGGATGTTCTTGGCTGCCATCACAATGTATTACTGTACAGACCGTGTTCTAGAAATTACAAAAGCTCTTTTTCTCCATTAATGTTTTACCAGTGTGCCCTCAACAGTAACGGACCTCAGTTCTCTCCACCCATCAGTGGACATAAAGAGGACCCACATGAGGTCACGAATGAGTTGTTCCGTGAATACATTTTATTTTAAAAAAAAGAACCTTGTACGCTGCAGAATAAACATATTCTAACAAATTGCTTTATGCAGACTCACAGGTTTACTTCCACAGTAGAAAGTATCCACATGCTTCGTTAGTGTAGGCAAAGCGATCCTGGTTCACTTATAAGGTGAGAAACGTCTTTTAACCACAGTTTATTTCACAATTTATGTGAATCACTGCAACACCAGACTTTAACTTCACACAATCTTCACAGATTGTAGTTCCAGATAGATGATGGTCGAAACCCTAAAGGTCGAGATAAAGCCATTGTAATTCCAGCTCACACGACCATAGCATTCAGTGTACTAGAGCTTTATGTGCGTCTTGATGGACGTCTGGGTAAGCCTCCAATAATACAGTATTCTGTCTTGGGCTCAGTAAGATATATATTTAAATAAATTAATATTTTAATTCAGAAGTGACAGTAAAGACATTTATAATGTTACAAAATATGACTATTTCAAAAATAAATGCTGTTCTTTTGAACTTTCTATTCATCAAAGAATACTAAAAAATGTGTATCACCGTTTCAACAAACATATTAAGCAGCACAATGGTTTTTAGCATTGATAATGTTTCTTGAGCTCCAAATCAACATATTAAAGTGATTTCTGAAGGATCATGTGACACTGAAGACAGGAGTAATGGCTGCTGAAAAGTCTGCTTTACCATCACAGAAATAAATTACATTTGGAAATATATTAAAACAGATTATTTTAAAATTATGAATAATAATAATCATATTAATAATTTCACAATATTACTTTTTTTTTATCAAACAAATGCAGCCTAGGAGAGCATAAGAGCCTTTTTTAAAACATAAAAAAATTATTAACTCCACACTTCGAACAGTAGTAGCCTATATATCTATATCTTTGGTGTTATATATGAAGCCTATCCATATTTACATTTAGATAAAGCAGAAGTTGTTATTCTTCAGATGCTATTCTGGTAAAACATGACATATGAATGATCTTTTACATATGTTGTTTCTTTTCTACTTAAATATGTTTATTATTTCTCTGTCTGAAGTTGACCTGGTCAGTATGTAACAAGAAATACCTGAAAACTAAAGCAAAGCAAAGCAAAGCAAAACTAAACTAAACTAAACTAAACAACTAAAAAATAAAATAGTAACACTCTATTTAAAAAAGTGCATTAATGCATTAAGGTATTTATCCATCTTTGTTAAAATTTGTTAATAAAAATACAATTATTCTTTGTAAGTTCATGTTAACTCATGCCCATTAAATAATGTTAACGAATACAACTTTTGATTTTAATAATGTTTTAGTGCATATTTAAATTAACATGAACTAAGATTAAAAAATAACTATTTTTAGTTCGTATTGTTAGTTCATATTAACTATAATGCAGTTAACAAATGGAACCTTATTGCAACGTGTTACCAATAAAATAAAATGTCCGTCATACAATTAACCACAAATATTATTAATGTAAACTAGCTTGATCTAATGATCTTATTATGCTATACAAAAAAAGTCATCAGATCTGCAATGCTGTATACATTAAAAACCTCATGTAAACTAGGTAATTACAGAAAAATCAAGCTAATTACATTATATTTACAAACTAAAATGAAACAATACTGAACAAGCATTAACGGTAATTATACTCACTATAAACTCAAATATGTTGGAGTGAGTTACTTATACCAGATGTGATGGTGTCTGGCCTATTTATTTGAACCCAACAAGACACTACACATATGGCAGAGAACACCCTGATCAACTTGCAGCCACTTTATTATTGATGATCTGGTTGGACAAACCCAAGCAGCACCTCCCATTCTCATTTAGCCTCGAACAGGCAGCGATGTCGCCACAGTCAGTACCAACTCAAATTCAAACTACTCTGAATGAACATAGACAGTAACAATACGCTCAGGCTTCAGTGAACTACAGTAATGTTTGCGGCAGCAACTAAGAATTTTGTGAAGCAGGTAGGGGACACTGGACGCCTCATCCCTGTGCCCAGTCTAAGTGAAGCGGACCGATATCAACCACTCAGCCTGGTGACGAGAAAGAGGAGACGACATTTCTGGAAGAAGACCAAATATGCCACAACCCCCTTATCACTGAAAGACATACTCGTGGGAGAGAAAGAGATCACAGCAGGTGAGTTAGAAATATTTAATAATTTGAAAAGATAAGTATAGATGAACAAACACTTGGTTCTCATGCCTTCAATCAAACATCCTTGTAGAATTGTATGTGCATGTTAAATTTTTACTTAAAAATGCATGAAAACAGCTATATACACTGATTTTTAAAATATTTTATGCAAACAGTAGTCTGTTTTTATTATGAATGAAGTACATACTGTAAGTGGTATCAGCGGAGTGTGTCTGTATTTTCCTCTGGTTGACAGGGGTCTCTTCATATCAGCTCCTAAACTATGAAGACAAGTCCGATGTTGCCCTAAATGGGCGTTTGGGCAACCATCTGATCCACGAGGTGGGAGTAAACGTGAGTGGTTCAGACTCTGTGGCGGTAAAGGCCTCATTTGGAATTGTGACCAAGCATGAGGTGGAGGTTCCTACACTACTGAGGGAACTCAATGCAAGGTAAAGAACACTGTGTACACATTTTTATATAACAGTTAGTTCCAGTCCTCAAAATTGGCTGAGAGCTGGAATTTTGTCCAGCAGCACTTGGACTTTTCACTGTTTGTTTCACTCCACTTTTTGCATGTTACAGACAGGTTGCATTGTTAGACCAGTAGGTGGCAACAAGTGACTGTATTTTAGAGATAGCTAGACTCATTCACTCAACCAATTTGGTCAAGAAAAAATACATTTGCTTGCAAAACATTTACGTTGCTTCAAGAAATTTTGCATACATTCACAGAACTTGTGCATTCTGTCACAACATTATTGTGCTCCACCGAGAAACTTTGCATTTACTCACAACAACTTTGGGGTTGCTTTGCTAAACTTTTGCATTCCTTTGACTCCCAAGAAATTTTGCATTCACTCACAAAAATTTGGGGTTCAATGCAAAACTTTCATGTTACCTCAATTCCTAAGAATTTTACAAAACCATTGCATTCCCCCCAATAACTTGCAAAAGCATTAAAATATTATTTTTTCTTCCATATTATTTCCATTTAAGTTACTGAGAACTCCAGCTTTGTATAATGGTTATGGTTATGATGATGCAAGTATTCAGAACAGCAGCACTCTTGCTTGCGTACTTGATGAAATGAATCACTGAATTCTCTCATTCTTTTTCTCACAAATCTTTCCGTCTATTCTCCTCTCAACAGTAGTAGCCTATATATCTATATCTTTGGTGTTATATATGAAGCCTATCCATATTTACATTTAGATATTTAGCAGATGCTTTTATCCAAGGCGACTTACAAATGAGGACAATGGAAGCAATCAAAATCAACAAAAGAGCATTGATATGCAAGTGCTAGTGTCTCAGTTAGCTTAATGCAGTACACGATCCATTTTTTTTTTTTTTTATTTGAAAATGTTTATTGCTTTATCTAATGACCTTTGGTTGAACTTTTTGTCAGACATATGTGTGGCACCAGAGTCAGTAGGAGGGTTCGAGAGGGAACAGATCCGTGAGCAGCTTGGGGGATTCATTGGCCGCTTTTCCTTTGGAAGACTCAGGAGATTCCTGTCGGGAATCATCTATGGAAATCCTTTCAGAGCAGGTGATTTAAATTCTGTTGTCATCGCTGTATCTGCAATATTTAAAATGATCTTGAAGAAATATTCCAAATGTCACTCTTGCTGTAGATGACAGGACGTTTGAAGAGCTCACTCACTCTGATATGTACATGGATGATGTTGTGACGGACTACTATGAGAAGGCTGCCAGCATGACTGACCTGTCCACAGCCTACATGCGGGATGAAAAGCACACACGTGTAAATCTGCTCAACCATAACATACCGAAAGGACCGTGTGCCTTGTGTGGCATGGGCCACCAGAGGCGTGAGACTGTCTACGGCTGCCTGGAATGCTCTTCGGGGGGAAACAAATATGTCCGTCTCCACGCTGTTCCATGTTTTGACCTCTGGCATAAAACTATGAGGTGAGGAATGGCCTGGAGGAACTCTCAGGGTGATTTTCGTGCAAATGTTGTGCAATATGACCACAAGATTTAAACCCTCCCCTTTAATTTTTGGCAAAAACACATTTTATGAAAGCAAGAATCTTCTCTGCTCATTGTGAGTGGCACTGACGTCGTAAAACCGATGATTTCAACAAATTCTAAAACATTTGAGCTCAGTCTGATTTTTTGTGACCCTGGACCACAAAACCAGTCATAAGGGCAAATTTTTCAAAATTGAGATTTATACATCATCTGAAAGCTGAATAAATAAGCTTTCCATTGATGTATGGTTTGTTAGGATCGGACAATATTTGGTCGAGATACAACTATTTGAAAATCTGGAATCTGAAGGTGCAAAAAAAATCAAAATATTGAGAAAATCGCCTTTAAAGTTGTCCAAATGAAGTCCTTAGCAATGCATATTACTAATCAAAAATTAAGTTTTGATATATTTACCGTAGGAAATTTGAAAAATATCTTCATGGAGCATGATCTTTACTTAATATCCTAATGATTTTTGGCATAAAAGAAAAATCTATAATTTTGACCCATACAATGTATTTTTGGCTATTGTTACAAATATACCCCAGCGACTTAAGACTGGTTTTGTGGTCCAGGGTTGTTTTATCGCACTAAAACTATGTTTGCTTGAGAGTATATTATTATACTCCTATCTTAGTTGTCAAATAACAATTATTATCTATTATCTACACTGCTGGCTAAAAGTTTGGAATAATTACGATTTTTTAAATGTTTTTGAAACTCTCTTCTGCTCACCAAGGCTGCATTTATTTGATCAAAAATACAGTAAAAAAAAGTAATATTGTGAAATATTATTAATGTACAATTTAAAATAACTGTTTTCTATTTTAATGTATCTAAAAAGGCATTTAGAATGATTTCTGAAGGACCATGTGACACTGAAGACTGGGGTAATGTAAAATTGTTCATTTAAATAGTAATAATATTTTTATAGTATTATTGTTATATTGTACTTTTGATCAAGTAAATGCAGCCTTGGTGAGCAGAAGAGACTTCATTCAAAAACATAATAACAAAAAAAATCGTAATTATTCCCAACTTTTGTCTGGTATACACATTGAGACTCATAATTGGAAAACAGTAAAATACACGTAATACAGTATAATAATACAAATAATAAATACTTAAAAGACTGATCTCAGACACAATACTTGGTGCTAATTGTGTATTGCATTGTTTACATATTTGTCCATAACATTCATTTATATCAGTTTTAAGATGGTGTTTCTTACCTATCCAGATACAAATGGACAAAATAACAGATACATTAGGGCAAAAAGCTAGGGCAGATATTTATTTCATCATGTGAAGACCAGCTTATATGTTTTCGAACACACTGTGCTGTCTGAATAATTCAGGCCTATCAATAAATTAGCCTGTAGATCACATGATGGCAGAGCAGGAAGTGCTTTGCTGACAGATGTCTCCTGTGAACAGTACACCATGGAAATGTTTCCAGAGAATGTGTGAACCGAAGGCCAGGACAGTGCAAGGTTACATTTGTGTGCTTATTTGACACCTGTTGGCCCCAGTGTGTTCAGAATAGTGTAATGAATGGAAAAATGTATCTTAAACTGTTGATTGTGTAGCATGGAATGTCAAGAGCTTGAATGACAAATATTTGAATGTCAAGAACAAAAATTAAAAAGATTTGCCTCCACAAATTCATGTACTGACTTAAATATTTTCCACGTCTGTTAACCATGTTGATAAATTTAAAAATAATTTTGAAGTCTTGAATATTATAGTATTAAAAATTTGGGGCCAGTATTTTTTTTTTTTAATTGTCACTTATGCTTATCTGCATTTATTTGATCAGTAAAAACAGTAATATTGTGAAATATTATTATATATATATATATATATAGCCAAATTGCCAATTTATAATTTATTTTTTTATTTGCTGCATATGGTACTTTAATGGCCAATTAAACAGATGTTTCACAACTTCTTGTCACAAGAATTTGATCTTAGTTACTGTATTAGTGGGTGACTGACTTTCTCACTGGAAGACAGAAGACATGTTTCTTATTTACATCTTTATTACTTATAAAAATAATGACCAACATTCTGCATTAATGACAAAAACGGCTCATATGCAGTGGGCCTTTTCATTTTCTGTATTAAAGCTCGCATCAGAACTCACCCACTGTCAATCCAAACACACTCCATTCTCACAAAAAAAATCCACTCCAGGATATGCACTCAAGCTCAAACTCAATCAGAAGAGCCACATAGGAACAAATAAATATAGACCTTTTTTCTTCTTTTTTTACTTCAAGTCAGAATTAAAGCACTTCTTGATCCTGCATTTCTGGATGAGAGAGGAATATTGCCGAAATTAGCCACTGAAATGTCCGTTTGGCACAACTTCACTGTTCCACATTTCCAGTTCAGTATGAATGTCTAATACAGCCATTGGGATTATGAATATAGCATTTAGAACCTAAAAAAAACAAAACAAGACCAATGCATTCCCCTCCCCGTCACCCAACTCTGGTTTTACTTTAAGCTCTTTTGCTTTCCTACACACAGACAACTATAAAACAAGCATGTCAGATGCTCCAGAAACAGGTGTGAAGCCATAATATTCAACATGTTTTAATGGCTTTAAAATATGAGATGCTCTCGGAACAAGGCACTTGGAGGCCAGGACTGTTTAGAGACACAGAAGAAACAAAAGATCCACTGAAATACTGTTGATTTCAGTGCAAGTACCATCATTGCCATGCACATCAAACCTCGTTATTGATGCTCGGAGACTAATGGGTAACATTGTAGGTTTTAAAACACAAGTCTTGACATACTAAGCTGATATCACTGCATCCCATTCAAACAAAATAAATATGTTTATTACTCCTTATTAATGCAAATATGATGTAAAAAGAGATACGTAACTGCTAAAACATCCCCACTCTTACGGAAAATAAGGTCCATTTTGTAACTTTAGTCCCCCATAGTAACTAAACATGGAACATCAACTGCTACTTCTGTGAGTTGGGAAAGGCTCACATTATAACCAGTAGGGGGCAATAAGACTACATTCTTGGAATGAGAACGATTCCAGCCTCACAACAAATGCTAATGAGGCTTCCACCTGCTCAAATCTATTCACACCCCAGTCCAGTGTTCTGCTCATATTTGAGCTTTTAGTGTTTGGATTCATAGAGTAGGGATTGGTTATTTGTGCAAACAAACCCAGCCTGGAACCAGCAATCCACTGTCTGTTAGAAAAATTGGGTGGAATTTTGCAACAGGCCAATATAAAGCCAAATGTCTCTAGAAAAGAGCAGAAGGGACAGACGTATGGTGGTCCTGTGCTTTGGTCAATCTGACTCAGTCTGTACGACATTCCCAACGGTCCTACTGCAGCAGCTTTTGGTTGAGGATCTCCCAGATCATAGCTTTCCTGAAATACGGCATATGACTCTATAGAGAAAGAGATAAGGCATTAT